GTTGTTTGGCGGGCCCGGGCTGGGGATTCGAACCTGCCACCTTAGTTGTATGTGGCTGGTGCCTTAGCCGCTTGAGCCACAGGCGCCGAGCCCTCAAACTTTTTAAATAGAGGGCCAGTTCACTGTCCCTCAGACCATTGCAGGGCCAGACTATAGGCCTCGGGATGAGCTGGCTGCTAAGCAGGACAGGCAGTGGAGGTAAAAACACTAGTGGTCCAGATAAATGTCCTAGGCAGGCTGCATGTGGCCCACAGGCCATAGTTTGAGGATGCTTGGTTTATGAATACACTGAACATGCTGAAAAATATAAAAGAATTGCAAGAGATCACTTTTTTTTTGAGAAAGAGTCTCACTTTGTCACCCTCAGTAGAGTGCTACAGTGTCACAAGCTCCTAGCAATCTCAAACTCTTGGGTTTAAGCAATTCTCTTGCCTCAGTCTCCCAGGTAGCTGTGACTACAGGTGCCTGCCACAGTACCTGGCTATTTTTTAGAGATGGGGTCTTACTCTTTTTCAGGTTGGTCTCGAACTTATGAGCTCAGGCAATTCACCTGCCTTGGCCTCCCAAGTGCTGGGACTACAGGCGTGAGCCACCATACCTGGCCCAAGAGATCACTTTTTAGTATAATATATAATTTACTGACAGACAACTGCTTACATGAAGTGATTAGTGCCACAAGACGTTTTAAGCAATACAATATTTGATCTCACTACAGTAGGTAGCAACAGGAGGCAACTACAGAACTATTATAGTGGTTGGAAATGATAGCTCAGGCCTGTAATCCCAGCACTTTGGGAGGCTGAGGCAAGTGGATTACTTGAGACCAGGAGTTCAAGACTAGGCTAGGGTGGGCGGCACCTGTGGCTCATGGAGTAGGGTGCCAGCCCCATATACCAGAGGTGGTGGGTTCAAACCTGGCCCTGGCCAAAAACTGCAAAAAAAAAAAAAAAAAGACTAGGCTGGGCAACATAGTAAGACCTCATCTCTAGTTCCAGATAGTCAGGAAGCCGAGGTAAGAGG